GAGACCCCCGCAGGGCGGAGTGACTGGGGTGATGGTGGGCTTCCCCCTAGCTGCCGCCATTCGTGGTGCCCCCAGCTTTGGGGACCCAGGAGCCCAAACCTCCCTCTGGAGGGTCGGGGAACCCCCTCCTCCCCGCACACACGCACCCATTAACAGGTGGGTTTTCTCCCCTGACCCTCGCAGGATCCCCCTGATGAAGTTCCCTTCCATGCGGCGGGTTCTGACCGAGGTGGGCAGCGAGATCCCGGACATGAACGCCATCACCCAGGCCCTCAAGTTCAAGCTGGGCTTCAGTGACCTGGCTGAGCCCACCCCGGAGATCCTGAAGAACTACATGGATGTGAGTAACAACCTCCCCTCGCTCCACTGTGCGATGCCAGCCAGGTGGCTGTTGTTTTTGGGGCTGTCCGTCCCCGTAGGGCAGGTGGGACATGCTGGCTGGGAAGGTGAAGGAGGGAGAGATGTTGATCCTGTAGGAGAGGTTCGTGCACCCCCACAGCTTGGTGGGTGGTTGCCGAAAGTTGTTTCTCATCATTGCTAAACTAGAAATAGTAATGATGATAATAATAATAATAATAAAGGATTCGCTGCCACCCAAGCAGGAGCTTTTCAGCTTCTGTGACCTATTTTCTTTCCCACTTTGTCACTAATTAAGGAGCGTAAATAGGGACCTGTTTGCTCGCGATCCTTCCAAGCATCTTCTGGCCCGTTTGGGCTCTGCTTTTCTGCAAGACGGGCATAAAAATTGTGCTCCGTTCCTCGGGACATAAAAGAGCGAGCAGGGGCAGGGGAAGAGGGCTCGAACTGGGCACCAGCTTGCTGTGGGACTGCGGCTACAGGACCTTTCCTCTCACTCTTTCATCTTCTGCGTGGCCTTGGGAAAAGGCATCATGTGCCTCCGCCTCCTCAGCAGCTTAAGGAGCCAAGGGCCCTTGGTGGAAGCAGCGATGAAAGGGGAGGCCCGATAAAGGGCATGAGGTTTGCCCTTGCCCAAGTGCCAGGCACATGTGGGGTTTCCTATTTCTGGGTTTCCCATTGGAACCTTCCCTTCACGGCTCTTGCGGGGAGGGCAGAGGTGCAAACAGTGGCCGGCAGAATAAAGGTGGCACCAGGTATCTGGGAATGAATTCAGGATATTCCCCCTTGCTTCCCTTTCGCAGGGGCTGTTGTCACCCAGCCAGTGCCGTTCTGCCGGGACTGTGCTGGGAAGGGCCACCGGTGTTTTAATAGTCGGTGTTGAAAGCTGGGGCGCTCGCGGCTGCACCACGGCACCGTCTTTTGAGACCGCAGCCTGGCTTGCCACTCAGGGAAGGAATCTGCTCCTTTGTCACAAGGGGACCAGCCCAACCTGTGGTGGGAGATAAGGGACTGCTGGGTCTCTCGTGATCTAGCTGAAAATGTTCTTATTGTCAGAGGAGCAGTTCAGATGAGAGGCACAACCTCTCCTAGGCAGCCCCATGTGGTCCCCACAAGCTCCTGGGACCCCTCTTGGGTCTGTGTTTGTGATGTACTCTATACCGTGGTTTAGCTTTCAAGCTCCAACGATAACTAGAGAGTCATCGGAAGCAAGGGCTGCCTCCCCATTGTGGCTAAGTGCAGTGGATTATTAATTACTCAGTGAGCAACCCTTGAGAACTAAGCGTGCAGGAGGTGAGCGGGTTTGATAATCCTATTTTCTCCCCGCCTCAACTTAGTACGTGGTAGGTTTGGGGAAGTCCACAGGCTGGCTTCCCTTGCTACCAACCTTCTCTCCAGGGCCCTGATCCAGCTGCTTGCCAAGCACACCGCAGCTGTCTGTGCCTTCAGGAGGGCTGGGGAAAAAGGGGTCTGGGCAGAACCTGCTGAGCATTTCTCATTTCTCCTCTTTCCTCTGGACAGAGGGGTGCCCTGCAAACATCTCAGCCACTCCAGTTTCTCCCAGCAGAGATGCCCTAGCAGGGCAAAGGGGTATCCATCTTCTCCCAAACTCTCTCTCATTCCCTCTCTGGCCATGTTGCTGATGTCTTTTTCTCCTTCCAGCTCCTCCAAAGTCTTCTGATGCCTGCAACTGAGTATTTCTTTATTCCTGCCCACCCAGGGCTCGCCAGCAGTTACCAAAAGCTAGGCAGCCTCCTAGCCAGTTTCAACTTTTCAGTAGTGCAGGTGGCTTCCTCCTTGGCTTCCTCCCATCTTTTTTTCCTCTTCCTGCGTGGCAACCTCCAGATCTTCCCCCTTCTCTTCTGCCCTGTCTTCCTGCCCCAAAAGTCTTCCCCTGCAAGTGCCCGTCCCACTTGTCCCCAATTTATCCTTTTCACACCCCGCTGTAATGAGGTGTGAACACCGAAGGGGAGCCTCCCTTCCAGAGGACAAAGGCTGGGAGGCCATCATTGCCAAAAACAAGAGGAGGGCAGCATCTACACAAGAAGCAGGTCCCTCTTTAAATCCCAGGAGATGGTTTTGGTATTTAATTCCTGCTTTTAACTGCTCTGCTCATGTCTCCCATCTCCTCCTTTGCAGGCCCAGTATTATGGCGAGATTGGCATTGGGACTCCACCACAGAAATTCACTGTCGTCTTCGACACTGGCTCCTCCAACCTCTGGGTGCCATCTGTACACTGTCGTTTTCTGGACATCGCCTGCTGTAAGTGTCACCAGTGCCAGCCGTGGCTCAACAGCTTCTCCTTCCCTCCAAAATGCAGATCCTGGCATTGCAAGAGGAGAAACTGAGGCAGCAGTGTGAAAAGGGCTTGTCAGAAGCTGACAGGCTTTTTAGGGTCAGAGCTGGAAATGGGATCCAAATATCCCACATCCATCCTTCATTACTCCCTGTTTTTTCCCCTCCGTGTCACCGCACGCGTAGTTTCAAACCTTCACGCGCAGCCTCGGCCCTGCAGCTGGGGAGCAACATCACAGGTTGTGATGCTTCTCTGAAAATTACAGACCGACGCTGATGTTGCCCCATTGCGCAAGGCTGCTGAGGGGAGGAGGGGGGAAAAAAAAAAAAACCAACAAACCCCTCAGCCTCTTGCCAAATCTGATACAAACTGTCCTAGTTTCTGGTTTATTGCCGCACGGAGCATGTGCGTGCATGTTTCTGGATTTATAATTAACAAGAGCCAGGTAGGCACGGTGAGATGAGAACGTCTTAGGGACTGTAAGTTTCTTTGCTCTGCTCTGTGGCATTCCTATGCAATAACTCGCCACAGCTGGAAGTATTAAACTCGGCTGTGGCAAAATGCCATTTAAAAGTGGCTGTGCTGCTTGAGCAGAGAAACCTGTGGAACCGACAAATACAACCCTGAAAGGTGGCCCACGGTGCTTGATGGGGTTAGGGAGGAAATTTGGATACTTGTGTGGCCCTGTAGTGCCCAGAGAGGAGACGAACCTCCTTTTTGCATACGTGAAATGAGGTTTAGAGCGCTGGTTGGGTGGTGAGGTCTGGATTTGGCATGTCATGGGGGTTCCTGATCTGTAGCAGGGAGCTGGTTTCTCAAGGTGGTGGCGTAGGAGGTGCTGAGACCAAAGGGCTCGGCTTATGAATATGCAATGAGGCGAACCTTCTGCCAGACTGGGATCCAGCTGGGGAAGTCCCACTATAGCGTGTTGGTTTCCCTAGGGCTCAGCTGGTTCCTCCTCAGCCGCTGTCTGCCCCACTCGGTGAGCAGCCATGGAGCTGGGCTGGCCAAGCTCGTCACGCACCACTGCCCAGCTCGTGACTCGGGAGGAGTCTGCCTACCCATAAAACCAGGGATATCTTGCAATTCCCAGTCCTTCCAAGACGAAAACCCTTCTCTTCTGCAAATAAAAGAATATTTTGAGCCTTTTCTGCACAAAAAACAATGACTGTATTAAAAAAAAATAATCCAGCTAGATTTAATAAAAGAAACAAATCCATAAGGTTCAAAAGTTCATGCCCAGAGCAGGCTATATTTAAAGCCACCCTGGTTCTCCGTGGCATGGGAAGGACTTGTTTCGTTCTACTGCCTAACACACCCTGACTCACCAGCCACATAGCCTCTAGGCTTTTAATACCTGGTGACCAAATCCGATTTACCAGCCAAATTGGATCTGCCCACCTAATTCTCCAGACGTTGGAAAACACTCTGTTAAGCAGTCTGGGCTTGGCGAATGCTGAGTTGAGGCCTACCTTCACATCACTGGGTGTCTGTCTGTCTGTCCAGATGAGCTGGGTGGTGTGGTGTGGAGTGTCGGGGAGCTGTTGGTATCAAGGACCACTAACCTTTCATGTCCCCTCTGTCCTCCTCCCTGGCTGCAGTGCTGCACCACAAGTACGATTCCTCTAAATCCAGCACCTACGTGGAGAATGGCACCGCATTTGCCATCCACTACGGGACAGGGAGCCTCTCCGGGTACCTCAGCCAGGACACTGTCTCAGTGAGTAATGACTGCCCTGAACCCCAAGCTGCCCCAGACTGCTTTTTTTGATGGTCTTCCTTCTTGAGTGTCCTATTTGCCTCTGCGCCGTGTTTCCAGCTGCTTTGAAACGAGATGGTGACGATGACTGAAGAGTTGACAATGACCAAGATAGGCAGAGAAGCGGGGGAAGGTATTAACCAGCAGGTCAGCAGGCTAGGAACACGGACTGCATGCATGGTGCTCTGCAAACTCAATCTCTGACCGTTCCTCCAACCCTCTTCTTATCCTGGAAATTTCCCATCCCAGGCACACACCAGCACCGCCACGTAGGCTGCTGGTGGTGCCCAGCTTGGTCCTGACCAGTATCCGTGCGGTGAGTGGGTGTTCACACAGATAACTGGCCAGAAACGAGGCTCTTCACTGCCCTGTCCTGGCCTGGTGTCAAGAGCCGGTGCTTGTGTTCGCAAAGGCTGTGTAACACCTCAGGGGGGTTCCCCAGCAGTGTTCAGGGCCCAGTGTGAGGTAGCCGGGTTGCTGGTGGGTGCTTCTGATCATTTCTTTTTTGGCAAGTGAAGGCTGAGCTTTCTGTCCTGTGAAGGACGGGCGCCTTTCAGAACTGCTTCCCAGGTACAGATGCTCGGGAGAGTTTGCCAGCTGCCGAGCGTCAGCGGCGCACGTGCTCCCAGATTACTTGGTCTCCTGGCAGGGATAAGAGCATGTGTTTGCTTTGTGGAGGCAGGGGAGTGGACAAAGCAAAAATTTTCAGTAAGCACATAAATCTAGGGATTTGAGGTTTTCCGTGTTAGATTCAGCCACAAAGCATTGGCTTACAGATTTCATTGGCGTCAAAAAAAAAAAACCTCTGAGAGGAGCCCAAGCAGGAAAATTTCTGGCTAACCTGGAAGCATCCCCTGTTTCCTCTGTACTCTAGCAAAGATGCCAGCAACTCAGGCTGGGTGCAGAACCCTCTTATGGGGCAGAGGGCTTTTCATGGGCTTGGTGAACCCTGAAAGTCAGTGCAGACAAGGCTGTGGAAGAGAGCCATGGGGGTTGCCGACAGCTTTACACCTCTGGTTTTGCTCTCTGCCTCCTGTAGCCCGCCAGGCTTTGGGACCCTCTGGTTTCAGTTTCTTTTCATGCCATTTCTTTCCTGCATCTCTCAGTTCACTTAGAAGCACCCCACTGCCTAAAAAGCCGCCCATCTGAGCCTTCCCAGGGCTCTTGCCAAATGAAGGCGCCGCATACGTAGCGTTAATGGATCTAGCGTTGCATTTGCAAAATACAGACAGAGCAACTGCATTCTTCCCGGTGATGAAGCAGGGCAGCAAAGCAAACAGTGAACTTTATTGTCCTGTGAAAGTGTGGGTTGGTTTAGGCACTTTCCGGCTTAATGCAGGGGCTGAAGTGAGTCAGAAGAAAATTGCAGCTTTTTTCTTATTTTTTTTTGTTTGTAGTTATCACTCTAATGCCTGCTTGCTAATTAGATCTCCACTTCCCAGCAGCTCAGAGGAAGGATTTTATGCCCGAGCTTGTTCAGGAAGTGGGGATGGTTCTTGGCAGCCAGCACAGCTTGTAGCATTTGGTTTCTGTCTGGGCAGAAGCAAGTGAAACCTCTTTCATGGAGCCTGAGCAGTGTCATACTTGCAGTATGCAGGAGCAGGACTGGCTCAGAGGGTCAGGGACCTTCAGCTCAGACACCTAAGATGCTTCCTAGGACGCACAGCAACCTGTAGGCAAACTCCCAGTCTGGAAATACAGACACTGAAACAGCCTTCAAGGTGACCCTCTTGGCTCCAGCGGTCCTGATGGCTAGAAGCAGCCACAGCAGCCTGTGGCAGCGCTGATGTTTGACTGAAAAGTGCTGGCTGGCAGGTAGTCCACAGTCCCTCCGCCCTGAATTTTTATTTTTTTGGAAAGAGCGAATGAGCTCATGTCAAACATTTTTTCTTCTGTGTAGGAATTCTGCCCTGTAGCACCCCACTCCCTGAAGAGCAACAGGTTCAGCCATCCCTCTGCTGCTTGGGCATCTCGTCCTCTTATTGCAACCTGACCTTGGGATGCCCTTCAAGGACAACGTAGGAATCGTTACTGGTCCCAGGGCACAGGGACTGCAGTGCAGATAGTGCCCCTCCTCACCTCCCCTCTAATCTGCCTTCGCCATCCGGCACTTGCCTACTTGATCTGAGGCCAGGCAAGCTGCAGGCTGCTGACACCCATCTGCAAAGCACTGGAGGGTGGTCGCTGCACAGCCGTCTGCTGGGAATGATGTTCGGTCGCTCCATGCTGAGGGACAGAGACAAAAGATCTGTCCCATGGTGCCAGTGCTCTGCTGAAGATGCTTTTAGGTCTCAGTCCTGCTGAGGACCGAAGGTGGAGAGGGTCTGCTGAGATCCCACCGCAGGGCACATACCTGCCTCCCTCTTGGGATATGCAACCAGGGCAATACTCAAACCCGGCACTCAGTTTTATTGCACTTTTTTTTTTTTTTTAAAGGGGGCGCTTTACTGAACTTTATGAGCTGCTGAAGGACCAGCCGTGCTGACTGGTGGCTTTTGTAAGCCGATGAGCGGATGTGTTGCTGCGAGCTGTTTCGCCCCACATCCTGCCTTGTGGCTTTAGCTTTTGCAAGGCTCGATCGCCCTTTCCTAGCACAAGCCTCCAATACCATTAAAGCCAGCCCCGTCCGTCCTAGCCTTGCACTGTCCAACCCTGGGGCGATGTTAGTAATTTACAGGGATCGTTATCTGCCATCAGGTAGGAGAGGCCAGCGTTTCACTCCAGCCCGGTTCACTACAGGACTGCTAGCTGCAGGCTGAGAGGCTGAAATTGTCCTAGCACAGATGCTAAAATTGCCTGTGGTCAGACAGAAGCTTGAAAACCTCCTGAACTGCTAGAACCAGGAGCCAGCACACACGTCCTGCTCCTCGTCAGCAGAGCTATCCTGCTTTTCTGTGATCTCCTTCTTTCTGGGGATCTGCCCTTGCAAAGCCTTTCAGCTTTCCAGCGGGGCATGCCAGTCCTTCTTGTGGCTGGCAAGAGAGGTGACCTTTGCATTCACAGTTACTCCTCTTGCTATTTTCGTGCTTTGGGCTCAACCTCGCTTTCCCAGCTGGGTCTTCTCCCTTCCTACGGGAGGTCTCTGCAGGCTGGTGGCTCTTCTGGGAGATGCAGCGATATCCTGGGGATGTTTCATATGTAGGGGAGGTCACAGGTCATTGGCAGAGGTGAGAGGGATTTGTGCTCCCAACTGAGGATGGGTGCAGCACCCAAGGGGGTAGAACACAGAGGTGACTTAGATGTCCAGGGTGGGGAAGAGGATTAAAGGCACAGTACAAGAGCTTTTCAGGCTGAGAGGAAACGATGACGTAGGTGACAGGGAAAGGGATGTAGCGGGGACAAAGTGATACAGGGCCCTCTGCACAAGGAGGAGGAGCTGCAAAATAACATGGTCAGGGCCGTGAGTCGGCAAGAGGCTGAAAGGGCTGTGTGGGGTGAGCAAAGAGCAAAGGGAGGCCCTTGGGGGTGCGCCGGGCTTTGCGGGGACTCAGGAGGTGCTGCTGTGCAGCGAGGGTGGCCTGTCCCCTGCCCTGCTCAGGAGAGTGACACCGGGGTGTCTGGTTTCTGCAGCTGCCTGCAAATGCAAAGGTGAAAGCAGGCAGGAGCGTGGCTGCATGTTGAGGGACGCGCTGCAGCCTGTGTTCAGTGAGATCCTGTTTCCACCCTGGTCCCCTGAGTCAGTTTTTTTTACAATCTGCTTTTCCCTTCCCTCCCCATCTCCCCTCAGCTCGGTAACTTGAAAATCAAGAACCAGGTATTTGCGGAGGCCGTGAAGCAGCCAGGCATCACGTTCATCGCCGCCAAGTTCGACGGCATCCTGGGCATGGCCTTCCCAAAGATCTCTGTGGACAAGGTCATCCCTTTCTTCGATAACGTCATGGCACAAAAGCTGATCGAGAAAAACGTCTTCTCCTTCTACCTGAACAGGTAGCGCTGGGGTCGGTGGCACAAATGTCCTGCAAGGGCAAGCACAGCGAGCTGGGATTTTCTCTGTGTCTCTCAGTAGCACCTCTCGCCCTGTGCCTGCTTATACCCTGACCAGCACTGCTGGGGAGGCCTCAGCAAGGTTTCCTTGCTGGAGCAGTTGGGCCAAAAACTCCTCTATTTACTGCTTTGGAATGAGAAGGTGGCAAATAGAAATGCAGCCGTTTTCCTGATAAAAAGCTGGGTAGATCTGCCGCCGGATTGGTTAACTGATGAAGAGACAGAGGATGTTTCCAGAGGAAAGAGAAGTAAAAATAAACAGACTTGTGATCTTGAGATTGCACGCTGCTAGTGCAGTTCCCATTAGGGGGGTAAACACAGCCTCAGGCTGTTGCCAAAATCTGCCAGCCACGTGGCCACCACCATGTCACCTCGCAGGCAGGCCTGCCCCCACCAGTCATCGCTAAGGATGGGACTGATGCTCCCTCACCCCCCAGTGCCTTCTCACCCACTGTCACTCCGCCCAGGATGCCACATCACCCTCCTGGCACTGCAGTGGGGACCCTGAACTACTTCAGCCCAAAAAAAGTAGCACGCTGGGAGCAGGGAGGGTGGAGAGGGCTGCTGCTGGCTGTTGAAGCACCAGCCCTCCCCCATCACCATATTTCTTCCCATCTGCTCGGCAGCGAGCTTTTATCTGACAGTAACCTTGAGGATTCGGCTCCGAGGCTGCTGGCTGGCGCGGAGTCGAGTGCAGATAACCTAACGCTGCATCAGCTGTGTCTAACCCTGCACGGCTGCTCGGTACAAGCTGATTATTTGGGGGTTCCTTCTGTCAGGGCTCAGTTCTGCTTTGCCATCCTTCCTTCTCCACAGCACATTTCTCCAGGTGTCCATTAGAAAGCACCAGGCGAAAAGCTGCAGGATGCTTTGACTGGGCCGGAATATTTCCATTTCCCCGGCCCAGCCCATCTCACAGTATCTGTCTTCGTGTTGACATACTGTAACACGAATTAAGTCAGTTGCCAACGCCGTGCTTCACCTCCAAGCACCTCAGTGTGTGTTGTGGAGGCACGAGGAGGGCAGTTGTTCTTTCCCTGCTGCTGATGTTCATGGGTTTGGTGGTTTGTTTTTCAGAGACCCCACCGCTCAGCCCGGTGGCGAGCTGCTCCTGGGAGGGACCGACCCCAAGTATTACAGCGGCGATTTCAACTGGGTCAACGTCACACGCAAGGCCTACTGGCAGGTCCGCATGGACTCGTAAGTCCCCCCTCTGCTAGACTACACGCATGGGGACGAGTGCACAGACAGCTGGGCTGGGACCCTCCCCATAAAGGAATCTGTCCCAGCAACACATCTATACCAAAAAAAAAAAAAAAAAAAGGCAGATTAAAATCCCACCCTGAGGCTAGGTTGTTTGTTGCTGGAAGTGGGGGAGAGGCAGAAAACAGCAGGAGATATTCTGCAAAATACTTTCTTCTGGTTTGGCTCTCGAAAACACCTGCTGCACCCTTGTGAAGCAGGGACAAACGCTGGTGTGTCCTCCTTGGAGGCAGGGCGAGCCTCACAGATTAAACCCTGGCTTTGCTCAGCACTCGGTGAAGCTGCATGGCTCCTTTGCACGCAGCTCCGGAGGAGCAGGATGAGGCCCCAGGAAGCCAGCCCTTGACTGAAGGGCACGGTACAGCAATCAGCGCGCATTGTTGGAGGCAGAGGGGAGGAGAACGGGCTGAGCTGCCGGCCGCCAGCCCAGCCATCTATTCTGAGCTCTCCCACGTGATGGGAACTTAAAAGCGGCCTGCGATCAGTGTGTTCTTTTCCTGGGGATTGCATCCCACCCCAGCGCGGGGTTTTAGTTCTCATCTTCCCTCAGCCCTGCTGTGTTGGCAATTCTTTGCCTGCTGCTTCCCACAGCCTTTGCTGGGAAGTCCCTAAGGGCTGTTTTCTGTCCGGGCATCTCTCCCCAGGCTGGACGTTGCCAACGGGTTGACTCTGTGCAAAGGGGGTTGTGAGGCCATCGTGGACACGGGAACCTCACTCATCACTGGCCCCACCAAGGAAGTGAAGGAGCTGCAGAAAGCCATTGGGGCGACACCGCTCATGAAAGGACAGGTGAGGTCAGGCTGGGAAAGTGGGCGTCCATGGCCATCGCGGCATCCACACTGATGCCCTTTGTGCCCAGGTGCATCTAGAGACCCCGCTCTTCTGCTTCCTTTGCTCTCTCTTCCCAGCCTCTGCTCCTGGAAAAGCCCCAACATAGTAGAGACCCCTCTGTCTTTTGACCCCACATAGCGTTCACTGCCCCTGCTTGTGGTCTCAGTAGAGGGCCAGGTCCCTTGAACTTTGGGAGGCTTTGGGTCACCTCTGTCCCACGTCTCTGGGAGGCAGAGAAGGGGCGTGAACTGCGGCCAAGGCCGAGGATACATGTTAACGTGAGTCCAGAGGCGCAGTAGTACAAATCTATTTAATGCAAATGACAGCCCTTCCCTGCCAAGTTTTTAACCATCGTAGCTAATCTCACAAGGTCATCTCCTCCCTGAAATTGTGGAGGAGCAAGGATTATAAGGACCCTCTTGGAAGGATGCTCTGCTCTGAAACCCTTCCCAAATCACAGAGCCGTGAGCACTTGTAGGGCTTTTCTGCAGTGTCAGGGACCCTATGCTGCAGCAACAACTGACTTAGACGTGCCACCCTCTCTGAGACTTGCCAGTGTTAATTAGAACAGCTCTGTCTGTTTGTCACACCACAAGTCCCTGTCTATGTCTCTACGCTGTATTGAGCCATATCTCCTCATCCTCTGACAGAACAAAGAGCCCCAACTCAGGTGCATTTGGCCCAGCAGAGCCAAAAGCTGCACCCAGCATCCTTTGGCTCCATCCTAATCCCTAAAACCCCTCTGGCCCCTCAGCTTGTAGCTCTGGGCAGGGAGCAGCCCACTTAGCTCAGCTCAAGCCTCTTCTGCAGCCTGAGCTGGTTTGATGGAAAACCACAGCAAAGATGTGATTGTGCCTGGGGGAGACCGTACCCTTTCCTGAGGGTGTGAGAGCTGCCATCTAAAGCCTTTGCTGTTGCCGTTTCAGTACATGATCCCCTGTGACAAGGTGCCAACTCTGCCTGTCATCACGCTAACGCTAGGAGGGAAGCCCTACCAGCTCACCGGAGAGCAGTACGTCTTCAAGGTACGTCCAGGCAGCTTTTGCCAGGCCTACGCTTCTTCCCCCCAAGGACTACCTTTGGGCTCCTCTGCTCAGAGCTCGACCGTGAAATCCAAAACCCAAGAGTGGCAAAAGGAAGACTGGAGCTGGCAGATGGGAAAAAGTCTGAAAGATTGGAGTGATGGGGTGGTGGAACTGCTGATGGACCCAGGCAACCTCATCAGAGTCCTGGAGGAATGAGACCCCCTGTGTGATGCTCATGAGGGATAGAAGGATGGGAGAGGAAGGGCAGGCAGGCTGCTGCATCCCTTTCTACAAACATTTTGGCCTTCTGCACTGGATTCTTTGTCACAGCAGAGGCCACCAGTCTGGCATTCAAGCCATCAGAGTCAACTTGCAGGGACCATCTTGTGCAGAATTTCAACAACGGCTCTTAATTCAGAGCTGCGTGGGCTGGGAGATTTATGGGCACATTGCCTTGCTGTGTAAGGGCTCTGGGAGGAGGAGCTGGGTTTAGAGCTGCAGGTTGGGAGTTACTTTTGGAAGCTGTAGAGATCAGGCTGGGAGAGGCTGAAGCGTGGCCGGCAGTGGCAGGCGTTCTCACCAAGCCTGCAAGGTTGAGGGAAGGGGAGGACCTCCTCGAATTGAAGCTCTCCCTCTTCTGCCTAGGTTACTGCATCAGGAGAAACCATCTGCCTGAGTGGCTTTTCGGGCCTGGACATCCCACCCCCTGGGGGCCCACTCTGGATCCTGGGAGATGTCTTCATCGGTCCCTACTACACCGTCTTCGACCGTGATAACGACTCTGTTGGCTTTGCCAAAAGTGCCTAAGCGCCTGACTCCCACTGCCTCTGCCACACACACTCTTACACACACGCACGGAAGCCGTTTAGAGAAAGATTTCCAGGATTAGAAAGCCAGTGAGTGGGAAAAAAAAGAAAAAGAAAAAAAAAACGGAACTAGGTTTAAAATCATATGGAAAATAGTTATTAGTGCCCTGCTAGCTACTTTTTCCCCTCTGTTGAGTAAGTGGTGCTGGGAGGTCTCTAGTTGACAACTCCAGCTGGAGTAGCCCCTTGCTTTACTGCTAGGTCTTCCAGTATTTGTTTTTAAGAATGATTCTCAGAGCTGAACAAGGCCCTCTGATGTCTCCCAGCCCTGATCTCCTTCCCTGGGGTGGGGGGGCAGCTGGCTGGAGCCAGCAAAAGGGGCTGTGTGGCTGCTCTTGTGTTTGGGCTTCTGCACTGGGGGAGAGGGACGGGGAAGGCTGTTCAGCGTGTTATTTATTTCTTCTTGGTTTTTTTCACTGATGAAGTGGGGGAGCGGGAGGTGGTGGGAAGAATCCATCTTCCTCACCCCTCCGCGACGGGTTGAGGCAGCAAACGCTGGGTCGTTTCTTGATGAGTTTGTGCTGGCTTAGTCCTAGGAGAGCACATCCCAGGCTGCAGCGAGGGGGGATCACGGACAGTAGCGTGCTTGAGGGCTGAGTTTCATAGCCCGAGGGCTCTGGTGGTGTGGTTTTTGCGCAGTGATGGCACTAGCAAGAGAGTTGGAGGCATGACATCCGTGGGCCTGACCTAACCAGGACAGAGATTCATAGGGGGGGCTCCAGCCAGCAGGACTCTGGCGAGTACAGATATAAAGGGTCAAGTTAGAATTTAATAGAGGTCACTTGAATTTGTGGCCGTGAAGGCTTTCTGCTGAGCGAAGTCACTTGACGCGGGTTCTCTAGAGTTTGGTGAACTTCTCCCAGGTTCCCCAAACTGCGGATGTCCCCAGTTTCCTCTGCAGCCAGTGAGCTGAGAATAATGTTTCCTAAAGCAACCAAGTCATCTACAAGCTGACATCATACGGATAAAATCCATGTGTGTTTGTCAACCATGTAAGACCTTTAGAAAATATTATTCGCAGCATTTTGAACTGCCCAAAACTCAAGAGATGGTTGGCAGAGCCACCAAGCCTCCTGGCCACGAGGGTTCCGTGAGAGCTGCTGGACTTGCGTTCGCTTTCCCTGCTGCCCTGTCCCAAAACCCAACTGCCTTTAACAACCTCTTTACCTGCTTTCCACCTTACTAATGCTGGCGAGAGCTCTGTTTGTGTCCACCCTGCGTTGCAGACGGAGTGAGGAGCAATCCTCTGCTTTCGGAGAGGTGGTAGCTGTGCTCACGGATCCTCCCAGAGAGCCGAGATCTGTGCATATGGAGCTGCTCGCTTCGCTGGGCTGGCGTCAATAGGCAAACACTGGTGGAGCTGGGAGGACGATAAAGTGAGTTTTTTAAGCAGTACTGGAAAGCAGATGAGAGCCTGCCAAGAATCCCAGCCTGTGCTGGGAGTAAAAGACTCTCTTTGCTTTCCCGGCGTGCTGGATCAGTTCCTGAAGTTAGGGAGTGGTAGCAGGTGAGGGGCAAAGCTGAGGATGTTGGGAAGAGTAGATCAGCACCGGCCATGACCCCAGACCAGGCAAAACGGACAGTAAAGTCTTGGCTTCCCAAAATTCACCAATAATCTTCCTAGCAGTACCGGTGGGATGAGGAAGTTCCCGAGAGAGCTCTTTGGGCAGCGGGTGAAGAGGTGGTTATGCCCAGTGACCTGCACACACATCATCCCCGATGTTGAATTCACCACGAGCACCAGAGGCACAGGCAGGGAGGAGGTCCTGAGGTGAGCAGTGGGAGAACAGTGAGTGTGTAGCCTGCAGATCTCCCCTTCCCTGCTCGCTGCAGCTGACCAGTTTGGCTTTCAAACCACGCCTCACACCTTGGAGGCCTCTGGCGTGGGCAGTGAGGACAGGCCTGGGCACACTTGGGACACGGATGTTGTCCCCTTGCTACCCCAGACGTGACAAACGCTGTTCCCCAAGCTTGCTGCTGCCTGCTCGTCACCTTCACCTGCAACCCCGCATCTGAATACCTAAGGGCATCTGTCACAGACTGGCTAGAGAACAGTAGAGTGTTACCAAAAACATCAATAGCTATTCCAAAATCAGCAGATACTCAGCACCTCTCCAGAGAGCCCTGGTTTCACACCAATTAAGTGCCCAGAGCTCCTCCAAGTCCTACTACATCCTCTCCCAGCCACAGGATTTCTTCAGCGTGACGAGACGGAGCCAGCCTCTCGGGTACCCAGCGGTCGGACCTGATGCGGAGCTGGCAGCGGGTTTTGAGCGTTGGATTTCAGCGGGATGGGCAGCACGAGGCCAGAACGAGCCATGGGGCTGCAGTTCTGCCAGGCATGCTGTGCCTTACGCCTCCACGGTGACCCAAGGCTGGTCTCATGCTCGTCCTTGGCACAGCCCGAAGTGATGCCCTGAGCGACAGACCCTAGGATGGGCTGGAGGAGCGGTTCGTCCTAGTCTTCCCTGAATTGGTCTCCTCCCCTTGTTCTTTTATTTGCATTTTTAAACCAAACTCTAACTGCGTGACTGGTTGGTTGGTTTGTTGGTTGTTTTTTTTAAAAATCTAATTTGCTGTCAGAGTTACTATCTCATCATAGAAAATCAAAAAGAAAATACAGTATTTCCCCTCCTTAACTCTGAGAGTTGTCTTTCCTTGGAGATGCCAAACTCAACCCCAGCCTGTTTTCCTAGTACATCTGGTTGCCCACTTGTGTGAGCCTGCGTTTTTTAGAAGGGCTCCTTCTCCTTCTTGCCTGTTGGGTTTGTCCTTTCCCATGTATGAAAACATAACCCAGCCTCTGCGGGGTGACATGATGGTGTCACCTTTCAGACCCAGCACCACCAGGGCAGCAGGCACTCCCAGCATCTTCTCTAGCTTCCTGCCTTCTCCTTTTGGTGTCACAAATCCATGGCTGAGTATTGCCAAGGGGTAGTCCTCCAGCAGGATACTCAGGCTGGCCCCTGGTCCACTGGGCCAGCTAGAACAAGCTCAGCGTGGGACATGGAATTGTCCCGTAGTGGCCAAAGTGGGACTTGAGTTTCTGTGTCGAGCCTGAAAGCCACTAGGATGTGGTGTTTATGCTTGCCGAGCCTGGTGATGAAGGAGTTGGTGTTTCTCTCAAAATATAGGAAAAATTCATCCCTCTTGCCTGGCTGTGTGATTTTCAGTCCTAACGTGGCTGTGCGGGAGCTGGAGACTCCGATGCGAAATGAAGGCCCCATGTGCCAGGTGGAAGATAAGAGCTAATCCCTACTTTGAAAAACGCATCATCTACATAAGCAAGACGGATGCAGCCAAGTCCCATCCCGTCTTCTGAGCGCAGATCTAAGCACGCAGAGAGCTTAACTGATTTCCCCACCGGCGGGTCCCGAGCCTCTGTTCCCCCAGGATGTCTTAATACCCCAATCAGCTGTTCTCCTACGTTAGAAGAGATGGATTTAACCCAAAAGGGCTGGCTGGGTCCCGAAAACCAATCACAAGGCCCACCGTTCCTCAACAGCCCAAGGGGAGAACAAGTCATCTGCTGCCAAATATTGACGGGAATACGAGGGTGGTGTTTCTGCTGGGGGGATCGTACCTAAGCCTTTAATCCCGCCGCAAAGGTGGAGTGTTACGTCTCAGCGGGAACAATCACCCTTGGCCAAGGGTTGGAGAAGCCAAGAGCTGGGATTTTCTATCCATCGGGGGGCAGAGCACAGCCCACCCGCTGAGCACCCTGCCCACAGCCTCGCCTTGTCCCTCCCAGCAAATCCATGGGTTTACACCCGCCTTGTCCTCACGGGCCTGATCCTTCTCCAGCTCTGTGCGAGGCTTTGCCAAAAACCCCTTCAGACAAGGACCTGCCTGAGGAGAGGGAGGGCAAGACCCCCTCGCTTATGGAGATGACTTGCTCATGTGGGTAGCTCAGCAATTCGTTCATTTGGGAAACTATTTTTACTCACCATGAATGACTAAGCATGTTGTTTTGGGGGCTGGTGGCTTTTTCATTTTCCGCTCTTTCCTTGGATTTATTTATTTTTAGTTCCTTCAGGAGGGAAAAGAAGCGGAGTGCAGGCTGAAAGCTTAGAGGACAGGAGGCAGAGACCGAGGGAGAGTGGGCAGATGGGATTTACCCCTCCAAGCCTCAGGCCAGCTACTTTGTATGGGGTTTAGCAACCCACTGAGGAATTTGATAGAAGTGGAATAGGAAAGATCATCCAGGAGGCTGTGAGCTTTCTCCTTTAAAAAAAAAAAAAAAGAGGGGCAGGTCCCTGCTAAAGGTTTTCCAGAGAGCTGGACTAGGATTTCAGATGGAAGACTTTCTCACGGGTCTTACAGCACTTGATTGTGCTACAGCCCACATGTCTCTAACACGATTACAGGAGAATTGCTTTGGGGCAGGAAACATCTTTCTGTTCTGTTTGTCCCATGCTTAGCACAAGAGGATGCGAACCTTGATGCCAGAGGAATACAGGCGATTATTCATACTCACTCCAGGTGTTGTTTGAAAGGAAATTGGCAATCTGCATCCAAGGGGTTCGGTTTCTCCTCCGAGCGTGCAGAAAAGGTGCTCTACACAGCTGCAGGTTACCCAGGTTTGTCCAAGCCCTCCAGAAAAGCTGACGACAGCTGGTCACGGCTCTGCCTCCCCTGCAAAACCTCTTAATCCCAAAGGAACATCACTCTCACCCCGGAGCTGCATCTGCTTCTTAGCAGCTTCTTGGAGGGAGACCTGGGTCTCGTCATGGGCAGCCGTAGCACTGATAAAACCGTCTTTGCTGTGGCAGGACCCAGCATTGCTCCAGCAGAGATAAATCCCCAACTAGAGGGCAATTTGTCCTTTTTTTTTAAGCAGCACAGATGCCTTCAGAGGGATTGCAGACTCTGGACCTGCCTCCAGCCTGGGAACGGTGTGGACATGCTAGAAGTCCCCTCAAATCATGGGGTGGGTGCCCC